TAAAAGTTCAGAAGAAAAATAAGGAACTTAGAATACAGACATTGTCCCTCACCTACCACTCCAAACTGGGAAAGAAGGAGCAGCTTTGAAGTGAAGAATGATAAGAGAAAGCGTTGGGAGAAAACCTTGACACAGAGTGTTCTGTGTCAATCAATGCAGTGAATCAATGCATGTAGTGGTATAAGAGAACTTTTTAAAAATATTTCAGAGGTGCTAAGGAATTTTATTAGTGAGGAGATGATTCAAAGAGAAGTATTCCCCCACAATAGAATTAGAATGACAGCGTGGCATAGAAGATGTAACCTATCCTAAGATGAAGAGAAAAAAAAATACACTATGTTTCCCAATATGATTTGTCTACCTTTTGCCTACCTTTAAATATGTACATATTGGTCCTAGAGAAGAAGGAAAGTCTTTTTTAAGATTAACTAACATTTTAGGTTGAGTTTTATGCAAACTAGTACGATTTATTCATGAAGGGGAGAACCTGGCAAAATCCAAAAATAAAAAAGCTATTTTTAAATTAAGAATGTAAAATTTCACCTTGTTTTATTTTGCAAAATAGTCTTGGAAAGTGGTGTTTGAATTATTTAAAAACCAAATTATGGTCACCATGCACTACTATAACATTATATATTAAAAGCAACTCTTGGTGCACCAAAGGAGGCCACGTGGGCGGGCTTGGAGGAGAGTGGTGATTCTGAGCTGACCCCGGGCTGTAGTGGGGTCTGGACTTGGGCGGTGTTCGCGATGGCGGGGCGCTCACAAGTGGACTCTGGCGGACGCCTGGATGAGCACCCACCCTAAGTATTTAGAAATGATGGAATTAAATATTGGAGATGCCACTCAAGTTTATATAGCATTCTTGGTTTACCTGGACCTCATGGAGAGTAAAAGTTGGTATGATGTAATTTGTGTGGGATTACCTGAACTTCAGCTCATCTGCCTGATTGATACTGAGATAGAAGGGGAAGGGTTACAGACTGTGTTGCCTACACCCATCTCTGCTTCCCTCAACTATCAAAGGATAAGGGACATCTTGAAGGCATCTCAAAAACTACGAGGGAATCCGGATTTACCGATGTCTTTCACTCTGGCCATCTTGGAGTTCGATTCTGCAATAGTCTATTATAAACTCACTGAAGGGTTTATGCTGCCAGACCCTCAGAATATTACCCTTAGAAGATAACATCTGTACTTCTCAACACTTTATTCATAAAAGATTGGTTTTGAGATCCATTTAACTGCTTTATCTTTTATCTCAGAGATAGTCAGAGTCAATTTAGCTTTTCTCATTCCATAAGTTTTCTTTCTGAATAAAACTTTTTCAGATAAAAGAATTTGTATTGCTTAAAACCATAGAGTTGTTGCTCTAGAACTCTTATTAGAGACAGTTTAGAGACAGTTTTACTCACTTTTATGTTGAGGATGTGTTCAGAGGGGTGGAAGCGCTGTACCTCTTCATAACCCACACTCACCTGCTGCTGTTGGCTGCTTGTTGAAACCACCACCTCTTCCCTTATTCTGCTCTTCCAGGGCCTTCTGACCTCTGTAGCTAGCTTGAGCTGGTACTTCATGTACATTGTGAAATGTGGAGAGTTTATTTCTGCCTGCTTTTCCATCTTTTGTATAAAGTAAAAGATTTATTTGAGTGGGTTTGTTTTTCTGTTGCACTTACTGTTATTTTCCTTTTGGGTTGACTTTAAATCAGAATTGAAAATATGCTTGTCATGAGTGTAAATTCATATGTCAGCATTAATAGGGGCCAGAGAAGTGCTTTATGAGGAGAGTGTTGGGCCTTCCTTCCATACTGTCACCACCATCCTTATTATATCATTGCTTGAATATTATAAGAGAGTGAGGGACAGTTTCAGCATTAAAAATATCTTTGTTAATTAGACCCAGTTATTCCTCTTTGGTTAATATCCTCCTATTGACTTGTCCAAATATGAAAATAATATGCACAAAGACTTTCCAAACAGTATTGTTTTGTAACTTAAATTATGAATCACTTGAAGTTTAGAGCAGGAGTCAAATGTGGGGCTGTACTTTGTCATCCCCTGGTCAAGGTAAATAGTCAATAAACAGATCTATGAAGGGTATATTCTGTACTCATTAAAATTATGTGATCCTGGCTGCAAGTAACACACCAAGTGCATGTTAGAATGTGACAAAGTGGATGAAATTACTAACTGGTTATAGTACGATGGCAGAGCAATGAATAGAAAATTTCATCTTTCCTCAATATTTTAGTTTTTACTTATGTTACTTTTATAATGAAATATTTTAAAATAAAAAACCTCAAAATCTGTAAAAAATAAAATAAAAGCACCTCTTTTGTCATAAATTATTTTGTAAAGTGGATAAAGGAAATATGTTTGTATTGACTGTTTTCCATGGATAAAAATAAAATAATTTTACCCCTCAGATATTTGATATAATTGTGAGGCTAATTGTCACATGAAAAATACTATGATTACAAAGAATACACAAATAACAGGATCAAATCAAACACAGGTCACTAGGATGTGTGTTTCCATATTAATATACTTATTCTAAATGTGAGTTAATCTCATTTTTCTAGAGAAGGTTATCTTTAAACATGACTAAACAGAAATATTAGGGATATATAACCTGATATTTTGACAGTCTTCTCTTGAATTTAATTTGATCACATTTTCTTTGACAGTTTTATTGAAGTACAATTAAAATATAAAGAAACACACATATTTCATGTGCATAATTTGATGCAACTGCACATATATAAATACCTATGGTATCATCACCATAATTAAGTTAATAGATGTATCCATTACTTTCAGAAGTTTCCTATGTCCCTTTAGGTTTGTGTTTGCTTGTTTTTTTGGTTGTTGTTTTTTTTTTTTTTTTTTTTTTTGTGTGTGTGTGTGTGTGTGTGTATGTGTGAGTACTTAACATGAGATTGAACCTCTTAATTTTTTTAGTATTTGTATTAGTGCATGTTAATAACACAGAATAATGAGTTCTTTGCAGCATATTTGTACATGCATATAACATATTTTGGTCATTTACTTCCCTCAATTACCCTCCCTTTCCACCCCCTTTCTTCTTCCCTGATTCCCTTTCTCTTCTCTCATAGACTCCCTACACTTTCAGATCATCTTTTTCTTCCACATATGAGAGAGAACATGAAATACCTGTCTTTTGTAGTCTGGTTTATTTCATTTAACATAATGCTAGTCAATTCCATCCATTTTCCTGCAGATGTTTTAATTTCATTCTTCTTTATGGCTGAATAAGACTCCATATATAATATTATGTTCATACATATAATATTTTCTTTATCCATTCATTTGTTAACAGATACCTAGGCTAGTTCTATAACTTAGCTATTTTGAATTGTGCTGTTATAAGTATTGATTTATATATAATACTAAAGTATGCTGACTTTTATTCTTATGGATAAATACCAAGTAGTGGTATAGCTAGATCATATTGTAGTTCTGTGGTTGTTTCGTTAGCTTTTTGAGGAAAGTCCATACTGATTTCCATAGTGTTTGTACTACTTCATGTTACCATCAACAGTGTATAATAGTTCTTTTTTCTCTGCATTCTCACCAGCATTTACTTTTATTCACATTCTTGATGATTGTCATTGATTGGGGTGAGATGGAATCTCAATGCTGTTTTGATTTGCATATCCCTGATTGCTAAAATTATTGAAGAGTTTTTATGTAATTTTTAGCCATTTATATTTCTTTTGAGAAGTGACTATTTGATTCATTTGCCCAGTTACTGACTGTGTTATTTGGGGTTTAGAGGTTTTTTTTAAAGTTCTTTCTATATTCTGGATATCAATTCTGGTTCAGAAGAGTAAGTGGTAAAGATTTTTTTCCCATTCTGTAGGCTCCCTCTTCAATCTGTTAATTGTTTCTTCTGCTTTGTAGAAGTTTTTAATTTTATGCAATATATTTTTTTTATTCTTCCTATTATTTCCTGGACTATATGGGTCCTATTCAGAAAATCTTTGCCTATGCCTGTATCTTAAACTGTTTCCCCCATGTTATCCTCTAGGAGTTTCAAATTGATGGATCTTATGTCTTTGATCTATTTTGAGTTGTATTTTGAGATATAGGGATAGTTTTAGATTTCTACAAACAGGTATCCAGTTTTCCCAGTACTATTTGTTTAAGAAGCTATCTTTTCTCCAATGTATGCATTTAATATCTTCATTCAGAGTCAGATGACTCTATTTGTGTGGGTTCATTTCTGTGTTCTCTGTTCTATTCCACTGGTCTACTTGTCTCCTATTATGCCAATACCATGCAGTTTTTGCTATTATGGCTCTGTGTTATATTTTGAAATTGGCTATTGTGAAATCTCTAGATTTATTCTTTTATTTCTCAGGATTTCTTTGGTTATTTTGGTTCTTTGGTATTTCTTGTGTATTTAGGATTGTTTTTACTATCTATAAAGAATGTCATTGGTAATTTGTTGAGGATTGCATTGAATCTGTATATCACTTTTTATTAATTCATTTTACTTATACATAACATTAGGATTCATTTTTGCATAATTATAGAAGCATATAATATAATTTGCTCTAATTCAGTTCCCAGTACTACCATTTACCCTCTTCTGTTCCCTTCCCTCTATTGATCTTTCTACTATTTACTTATAGTTTACTTATAGTTTTTTGAAATATCTAAATATGTACATAGAAAAGTTAGGTCCGTTCATTCCACTCCTCTTTCTTCCCTTATTCCATCCCCCTCCAACCTCCCCTTCAATCTCTTTCCTCTACTCCACTGATCTCTCTTCTATTTTCATTTGATTCCCCCTCATTTTCTTTCTTTTTTTTTCTTATTTTGAACTAACATCTGTATATCAGAGAAAATATTCAAGCTTTGACTTTTGGTGTCTGGCTTATGTCACTTAGCATGATGGTCACCAGTTCCATTCACTTATCAGCAAATGCCATAATTTTATTCTTCTTTATGACTGAGTAGGACTTAATTGTGTATATATACCACATTCCCCTTGTTCATTCATCTTTTGAAGGGCACCTAGGCTGATTCCATAGCTTGGTTATTGTGAATTGGCTACTATAAAACATTGATGTGACAGCATCATTAAAGTATGCTGATTTTAAGTCTTTTGTATATGTATTGAGGACTGGGGTAGGTGGGTCATATGGTGGTTCTATCCTAGATTTTTTGAAGAATCTCCATACTGCTTTCCAGAAGGTCATACAAATTTGCAGTCCCACCAACTATGTATGAGTGTACCTAATACATAGATATTTGTTCCTGTTATTTCTAAGACCTTGGGATGCATAATTTCCTCTTAGAACTGCCTTCACTGTATCCCACAGATTCTGCTATGTTGTGCATTTATTTTTACTTAATTCTATGATTTTTTTTAATTTCCCTGATTTCTTCAATAACCCACGGGTTATTCAAAAGTTTATTGTCCAATCTCTACTATTTGTTTGCATAATTCCTATAGTGTCACTTGCTATTGATTTCTAGTTTCATTCCATTATGATATGACAAATGCAACAAAATTCATTTTTGTATTTGTTAAGATTTCTTTCATTGCCTAAAATATGGTCTACTTTTGAGAATGTTTCATGAGTAGCTGAAAATAATGTGTATTATGCTGCTGTTGGATAGAATAATCTGTAAATAAAATATTTCTGTCCATTTGATCTATAGTGTAGTTTTAACTCTGATATGTTTTGTTGATATTTTAACTGGATGACTTTTCTATTATCATGAGTGAGGTAGTGAATTCATCCATTATTATTGTATGGGGGCCTACTAATCCCTTTATGCTGAGTATTCATTGTTCAATGAAATTGGGTGTGCTTCCATCAATGTTTATAGCAGAACAATTCACAATAGCTAAACTGTGGAACCAACCTAGATGCCTTTCAGTAGATGAATTGATTAAAAAATGTGGCATATATACAATGGGATATTTCTCAACAACAAAAAAGAATAAAATCATGGCATTTGCAGGCAAATAGGCAGAGTTGGAGAAGATAATGCTAAGTGAAGTTAGCCAATCCCCAAAAAACAAATGCCAAATATTTTCTCTGATACAAGGAGGCTGATTCATAGTGAGGTAGGGAGGGGAAGCATGGGAGGAATAGATGAACTCTAGATAAGGCAGAGAGGTGGGAAGGGAAGGGAGGGGGCATAGGGT